TGTCTATTTTATTGATTCTTTCAAAGAATCAACTTCTGGCTTTATTGATTCTTTCTGTTGTTTTTCTATTTCGTTTATTTCTGCCCTGATCTTTACTGTTTCCTTTTTTCTGGTAGCTTTTGGGTTCTTTTGCTCTTCCTTTTCTATTCAAGTTGTCAGTTTAAGTTAATGATTTTGGGTCTTTCTTATTTTTAATGTAGGCATTTATTGCTATGAATTTCCCCCAGTACTGCTTTTGCTGTATCCCAAAGGTTTTGATAGGATGTGTTTTCATTTTTGTTTGAGTCTAGGAATTTTTAAATTTCATTTATGATTTCTTCTGTGACTCGGTAGTTTATTTTTAGTAGTGTATTATTTAGTTTCCATGTATTATTTTTTCCCTTATTCTTCCTGTTGTTGATTTCTAGCTTCAGACTGTTATGGTTTGAGAATATGCTTTGATGATTTCGATCTTTTTAAATTGGTTGAGACTTATTTTGTGTCCTAGCATATGGTCTATTCTGGAAACGATCCATGTGTGCTGGAGAAGAATGTGTATTGTTCTGCTGCCGGGTGGAGTGTTCTATATATATCTGTTAGGTCCAATTGGCTTACGGTTTTATTTAACTTCTCAATGTCCTTGGTGATCTTCTTTTTAGGTGTTCTGTCTATAAATGAAAGTGGTGTGTTGAAGTCCTCTACTCTTATTGGGGTTTATTTCTCCTTCCATATCAGTCAGTATTTGTTTCATGTATTTTGGTGAACTTGTGTTAGATGCATATATGTTTACAATTGCTATGTCTTCTTGCTGTACTGATCCTTTTATTATTACATAATGTCCTCCTTCATCTCTTGTAATAACTTTTGATTTAGAGTTTATTTTATCTTATAACAGTCTGGCCACCCCTGCTCTTTTTTGTTTACTGGTACACAGAATATTTCTCTCCATCTTTTTATTTTCAGTCCGTTTGTGGCCTTACATCTAAGGTGTGTTTCCTGTAGACTGCAAAAGGATAGATCATGTGTTTTTTAATCCATAATGCCACTCTCTGCCTTTTGCATGTGGCATCTAGACTGTTCACATTTAAGGTTATTACTGAAAATGAAGTGTGTACCTCACTCATTTTGCTATTTGTTTATTGAGTGTTTCATATCTTCTTTGTCGTTTTATTCTGATTTTTCTATTTTCATTTGTATTTGGCTGCTTTCTTGTGATGATTCTTTTTGTTTTTTCCTTCTAAATTTTTTTTCTCGATGACTTCCTAGTGGTTACCACATATATTACATTACACAACTTACAACTGCAACATTTAACACATGAACAACAGTTACACAACCTCGACATAATAAATCTATTCCTGATGTGCCCCTCCCTCCTCCATTTCTGTTGGTGTGTCTCCATTAACATCAGTAATCCACTGTCACTGAGTTGGTTCCAACTCATAGCGACTCTATAGGACAGAGTAGAACTGCCCCACAGGGTTTCCAAGGCTGTAACCTTTACAGAAGCAGACTGCTACATTGTTCTCCTGCAGAGCAGCTGGTGAGTTTGAACCACTGACCTTTCGGTTAGCAGCCGAGCACTTTAACCACTGTGCCACCAGGGCTGCTTATTACCATCAATATACAACCTATATTCAGTAAGTCTACTTTGTACTTATTTCTGACAAACCTGATGTTGTACTGTTTGCAGGATTTAATTACTGAGTTTATTACTTCAAAATACCATATACTGGGTCCATATGACTGCCCGTGTTGTGTTTTTTGGAGATCTCTCTCTTATTTTTTGTTCACCTTTTTTTTTCCAATGTATAGAATATGAGTATTCTATTAGGAGTACTCCTTTGAGTAATACTTGCAAAGCTGGTCTCGTAGTGGCAAATTCTAGAGCTTCTGTTTGTTTAGGAATGTCTTGATTTCTCTGTTTCTGAATGACAGCTTTGCTGGGTAAACAATTCTTGGTTGTCAATTGTTTTTGTTCAGTATTTTATATAGGTTGATTCATTGTCTTCTGGCCTCTAGAGTTTCTGGTGAGAAACCCGCAGTGATGAAAGCCTTTTGGTATGTTATATTGTGTTTTTCTCTTGCTGGTTTCAGAATTCCCTCCTTGTCTTTGGTTTTCAAGAATGTTATTAGGATATGGTGCGGAATTCATCTGTGTCTCTTCTAATTGGGGTTTGCATAGCTTCTTCTGTTTGCAGGCTTGGTTCCCTGTTTAGGTCTGGGAAATTCTCTCTTGGAAAATTGTTTCTGTGCCTTTATTGTTGTCATGGTGCTCTAGGATTTCACTAATTCTAATGTCAGGTCTCTTAATTGACTCCTATACTTCCTTTTGGGTTTGTTCACGTTTCTTTGTTCTTTTCTCTTGAGACTTGATAAGTTGTTATTTTGTCTTCTAGTTCATTTATTCTATCTTCTGTCTGTTCAACTCTTTTGCTGAGTGTTTCTCTTGCTTTTCAGTTGCTTTATTTTTCAGTTCCAGTAGTTTTTTTTTTTAATGTTTTTACTTTCCATTTTGAGTCTCTCATTTTGTTCCTCCATGTCTCCTGATCCCCACTAGTTTGTTTTTTGTGTACTTTTTGCTTTCTTCAAACATATTTAGTACTATAATCTGAACAATTATCAATTCTTTGAGTTAGTCTGACCTCTACCAGAGAAATTTCCTCTTTTTCATGTTTTGCTTTTGACTGGTCCTTCTTCTCTTGTGATTTTGTGTGTTTTAATATTTTTGTTGATTTTGGGTCATTTTGTTATCTTTTTTTTACTTAACATTTTGCATTTTGGTTTTTGTGAGAAAATTTTCTGATTGGGCTCCCTGGCAGTGCAGTGGCCAAGCACCCAGCTGCCAAACAAAAGGCTGGGGCCCGCACCTACCAGTCGCTCCGCAGGAAAAAGATGCGGCAGCCTGCCTTTGCAAAGACTCTCGGCCTTGGGAACCCCATGGGGTAGCTCCACTCTACTCTACACAGTCACTATGAGTCAGAATTGACCCATTAGCACTGGGCTCAGTATCTTCTCCTGAGAACCAATAGAGGGCACTCTTATCCTAATTTTTTTTCAGTGCTGATTCAGTTCTGGATGCTTGATCTCTGGAATTCAATATGCATGTGTGGGAGAGGAGGTTTAGCTGGTCGCAGACTCTAATGTAAGCGGTAGGGCTCGACTTTCTGGGGCCAAAGTGGGGGGCTCTCTCTCTTTCCCTCATGGGCACCCCTTCACAGGCTCTCCCACAGTGTCCCACTGTGGGCAGGGAGCTAGCCATTTCCCTCTGTGTTGCCGTCTGTCTGAAGTATCCCCCTTGCCCTGCTGCCCTTGCAGTTTCTCTCAGTCCTAATTGCTTGCCTGTCTTGGGCCTCAGCACGATTCAACAGCATTCTCTTGCAGTGCCATGGTCTCCCTTCGCCCCCTCCTAATTGCACGGCCCGTGAACTCCCACAGCAATCTACACTGACTTAAAAATTTCGGTTATAGCTCCCTCAGATTAGCTCCTTTTCTGTGTTCCTTGTTTACAGTATTGCCCAGCCCTGTCCCAAAATGGATGTGATGAGCAAGTGCTCTCGATGTTAGTGGGTAGGTTCTCCCAGCTTCTGTATCATCCCTGCTCCTGCCTTCCCCCAACTTCTGGACTCACCTCAACTCTCCAAAACCTCAGCTGCTGTCTAGAGTTCTGAGATCTCATCTGTGCTTGTTTTTATTCATTGTTCAGTGGGTTAGTTGCTGGGCGAGTAAATGGGAGCGCTGTCCCCTCACTTCACCATCTTGCTCCGCCCCTAAGGAATTCCAATTTTTCTGAGCAATGACTGAGGAAGGTTATGTTGACAGTCAACACAACTACTCTTTAAATGATGTTAATTAGCTGTTTTTAAGACACAGCAAAGTGAAATTTTACTTAGGTTCACTTGGAAAGGTATATGCTTAGGTGTGTGTTATAGCTTCAGATTTTGACACAGGTTATTTTTGTGAATGAGTTTCCACTCTAGCACAGTACAGTTATTTAGGGCAAGAATCAAGAACAGTCTTATACTTTAAGTACCAGGTAATTTTTTTAAAAGATGGTTTTAAACAGAAGTACTGTGGGATCTAACCCTTTACTGGATACAAACAAAAGTTTAAAATGTACAGATCAATTGAGGTATGATCACAGATGGTAGCCTACATAGAGGGTGGTTTTTAATTTTTAAAAATCATCAGATTCTATTCCTTAAATACTTAATACAAGTTAAAAAATCTGAAACTTTCTTCTCATTGTTTACTGGTTGACTTTGATGAGATAAGGAGAGAGGGAAATTTTTCACTTTATAATATACTTGTTTATCTTTTGAATTTTGAACCATGTGAATAGATTTCTCTGTTCAAAGCAAATACAAATGTTAAAGTCCTTTGGTATTATATATCACCAGCACTTTCCTTTCCTTATTTGTTTGGGGAAGAACATATAACAACTTGCTCCATTCTAATGTGCTGAACATCCTGATTTTAAAAATATACCTTAACTACCAACATTATGGTCCTACTTACACTACTAAGCACAGAGAGAAAATAAGCAGGATAGGAGAAACACTGTGACGGTTCTACTATTCCCCTTCAGAGGAGTACGAACAATGAAGGGAGATAAGGTAAAAGGGCATTTTTCATTCATTGGCTTCTGTACTGATTAAAAACTTTCTGGATACATATTTAGAGCAACTAAGATTCCAAACAAGTATAACTTAGAATAGAAGCCAGCATGTTAGCATGTTGACATGCAGAATCTAATATCAGCATTAGATGTTTAGGCAGATTTAAATTAAGAACTTGATTTTTATTGGCACTTCTCAAGTTTAAAAGTTTTGGCCTTTTTTTGGTATTCTGCTGAGAACTAGATATGTAAGTCTACAGCCACATTACAACTACCCAAGTATGCTTAAAATAAAAAGAGTTTATTCAATTTCTTTATGACAGATACCTGTCTTGGGACTTTTACTGCTTACATGGATGCCTTCTTCTTTTCCCCTTTATCAATAAGCTTAGGCTAAAGGTACCTTTAGGCTCTTAGGCTGTTGTCGAACCTCCATAACATGCTTTCGTCTTAGTTCTCGTTCTCTTCGCTTGTTATATTCCAGCTGGTTAGTGAGCTCAGTTTGGTGCTGCAATCTGATCAACTCACAGCGCATCTTCTGAATTGTATTGAGGTGACGGAACTCCAGTTCTTGCATGGATTCGTGCTGTCGTAGTAGCATGGCATGCTCTAAGTCCTTCTGAGTCTGCCTTTTATTTAACTCCTAATCCATAACACAAAAGACACAGGTATAATTTACTGCTGTACAATGCTGGAAAAATAAAATTAGATCCTAAGAAAGAGACCAGCCAGGAAACAGATGTAATTCTCTGATTTAATAATGGCTAAAAAGTAAGTATAAGGGTTTTATGACTTTTACTTTAGTAAATGGCAGTTAGTAGCACAAATATCCGTAACATATTCATTTACTATTTATTAATACTATTTTGTACTACAAGCTTAAGACACATCAAATCTATCTCAAGAGGTTTTACTTTCTTCTTGTATTCCTTTCATTTCTGCCTTTATTGTTTTCTGATTTTATATTTTAAGAAGGCTCCTAAGTCATCCTTTGAATTTCTATAGAGTACACTATTTAATTCTACTATATATAATATACTCAGTACAGTGTAGTAGTTAAGAACATGGACTCTAGAGCTAGACTGCCTATATTCTAAATCCTGGGTCTGCTAATTACTAGTTCTGAGTCCTTGGTACATTACTTGAACTCTCTATGTTTCAGTTTCCTTACCTCTAAAATGGAGATGATAATGTAACATAGATATTTAACTGATTTACCGTGAGAATGAATTAAGTTCATACATGAAATGTCTCCAGAATAGTACCTAGCACACTGTGCTCAATTATTATTTTTTTCCTCAGGTTGAAAACAACAACTATATACATGCATACAAAATGTAGGTGTCAAACTTGGCCCCTCTGCCTCTGCAACTTACTTCCCAGAGGCCAAGTGTTTAGTGCATATGCTTCCCAATCTTTTTCTATGTTTATTGTGACCCATCTTTCATACAAAAACATTTAGTTCTAAAAACTAGATAACAGTATACATTATGAGCATGTAACCTACTTTCTTCACCTAACAATATACTGGACATATACTCAGATCAATACATACAGATCTTTTTTTGTTTCTTTATATTTCATAATAACCTACTGCTTTCTGATATAATTTTTTAATCATTCCTCTACAGTTAGACATTTAAGCTATTTCTAATTTTTGCTTTTATAAATGAAGTTTCAATAAATATGCATACTGCATCATGTAATCATGTTATTATATCTGGAGGACAGAGTTCTACAAGTAGATTTGATGATTAAAAGTATAAGTGCATATTAAGTTTTAAAAGCTACTGTTAAATTATGCTCCAAAAAGGCAGTATCAATTTATATTTTTACCAACAGTGCCTATTTCCTCATGCCACTACTAGGAGTGGATATTACTAATATTTAAAATTTTTCCTATTTAACTGATGTCACTGTTTTAATCAGAAATTCTTTAATTATTAGTGAATTTGAATAATTATGCTTATCTGAAGATTATTTTAAGCCACTCTGGGAAATAAATTCATCTATGCTTACAAGTATTCCTAATAATCAGAACAACTGTTTCTTTGGCATGCGAGTTTCTGCAACATTTCTTCAGTTAATAATTACATGATTATAAAAATACATTAAATGGCAATATATACCTCATGGCACCCATTTCAGATCAAAGAAGAATAAACTGCCCTATTAATGTTCTCATATTTAAAAACTAATACTTCTTTCACTCATACACTATTTAATAAATATTTATTGAATGCCTAATAGGGGCCAGACACTGGGGAATATAATTAGACAAAATCTGTGACTTTACATAGCTTCCATTCTAGTGGGGGCAACAGAATCCCCCCCCTAAAAAAAAGTGCGTGTGTGTGTGTGTAAGAGAGAAAGAAGTGTAAAGAATAAAACCGAAGAAGAGAGAAACACGTGATCATTAGGAAGGCCTTTCTGAAGAGGTAATATCTGAGTAGAGATTTGAATGAAGGGAGAGAGCAAGTCATGGGGATATCTGTGGTAAGAGTGATCAAGGCAGAGGAAAATGTAAGTCAAAGGCCCTGAGGCTGAAAGGTGATTAGCATATTTTCAGGAAATGATTCTGTTCATAAAAGAATTTTAAATTTCATTATCATTCAAATGTGCCTCTCTCACTCCCAGAGATCTCCTTTCAGCCAAATAATAACTGGCTTATAAAATAAACAATATCACCCATGAGAAATGTACTCCCTTAAACGATCAACTATACAAGACCAAAAGGTCAACATTTACTCAAAAGCAAAGACGAGAAGGCAAGGAGAGCAGAGAAGCTAGATGAATGGTAACAGAACAAACAGAATGGAAACAATGAGAATGCTGACATACTGCGAAAACTATAACCACTGTTATGGAAACTGTAACCACTGTTATGGAAAATTTGTACAAAAATTGTTCAATGGGAACCTAATCTGCTATGTAAACTTTCATCTAACACACACACGTACCTCCCTGACAAGGTCTTGCTCCAAGTTATGACGCCCAAGTAACATTCTTCTTTTGAAGCGACGGCATTCCAGCTCTAGGTATTGTCTCTGACGTCGAAGAAGGTTAGCTTCTTCTTCTGCTTGAAAATGCTGTATATTCTCCTTCTGCTTTGAAAGCCACTCTTGTTTTTCTTTTTTAGGGGTGCTCTGGTTTTCATTCAGCTCCTGGCAACATAAACAACAATTTTGTTCAAAATATATAAAAATTAACCACATGAATGTACTATCTGGTATCTGGTACATTTACATAAAGTATTTTATTGGGTTTCCTCTCTAATGCTCAGGCAGGGCAATGACCTTGAGGAGACAGGTTATATTTTCCTCTGAGTTACCTGTGAAGTAGGACAGGAAAAGAGGAATGTACACTAAAAAATATGCATGCCTTTTAGCTTTACATAACCACATTTCTGATGGTTCCTAGCTTCAAAAGCACACACTGACTGGTCAATAAAATAAAAATCTGTTCTTCTTTAAACTCTTCCCAAAAAGAGACAGAAGCAATGCTTTCAGGTAAAGATCACATCAACTAAAATTATGGCTAAAATACAGTTAAAGAATGTCTTACTTCTTGGCTTTAGACATTCTAAATATTAAGTTTTTGGTAAAATTATGGATAGAGTAAGTATAAAAGAATTGGAAATTAAAATGAAAAATCAACAAAACTATGGAAGAATAGAGACCTTCTTTATGAATGGTATTTAATTTTCAGCATTAATACTTTACTGAATAAATCAAAACCTATGCTTTTCCAATTTATAGGTATAATGTAATCCTGATCCAAATTCTAACAACATTCTTTGACAAAATGGAAAAACTAATCTCCAACTTTATACGGAAAGGAAAGAGGCCCTGGATAGATAAAGTGTTACTGAAGAAGAAGAACAAAGTGGGAGGTCTCCCACTTCCCAATCTCAGAACCTACTATACAGCCACAGTAGTCAAAACACCCTGGTACTGGCACAACGACAGACACATAGACCAATGGAACAGAACTGAGAACGCAGAAGTAAATCCATCCAGCAATGGACAGCTGGATCTTCCATTAAACAAGGAAGAGACAGTCTCTTTAACAAATAGCACTGACAAAACTCGATATCCATTTTCAGAAAAATGAAACAGGATCCATACCTCACACCATACACAAAACTAACTCAAAATGGATCAAAGACCTAAATATTAAACACAAAACTATAAAGTTCATGGAAGAAATGACAGGGACAAAGCATGGGGCCCTAATTTATGGCACAAATAGTCTATCAAACATGACTAAAAATACACAAACAGCAGGAGATAAACCAGGTAATTGGCACCACCTAAAAACTAAATACTTAAGCTCATCAAAAGACTTTACCAAAAGAGTAAAAAGATAACCTACAGACTGGGAAAAATTTTTGGCAATGACATATCTGACAAGGGTCTAATCTAAAACTTACAGAAAACTTCAACACCTCAACAACAAAAAGACAAATAACCCAACTAAAAAAATAGGCAAAGGATATGAACAGACACTTCACCAAAGACATTCAGGCAGCTAACAAACACATGAAAAGAAACAGAAAACAACAAATGCTGGTGAGGTTTTGGGGAGACTGGAACTCTTACACACTGATGGTGGGACTGTAAAATGGTACCACCACTATGGAAAACGGTATGGCACTTCCTTAAAAAGCTAGGAACAGAAATACCATGTGATCTGACCATCCCGCTCATAAGTATATGTCATATAGAAATAAGAGCTGCGACATGAATAGAAATACGCACATCCATGTTCACTGCAGCATTATTCACAATAGCAAAAAGACAGAAACAATCTAAGTGCCCCTCAACGGATGAATGGATAAACGAATTGTGGTATATACATATAATGGGAAAGTATATGACAATAAAAAATAATGGCGAATCCATGAAACATCTCATGACATGGATGAATCTGGAGGACATTACGCTGAGTGAAATAAGTCAATCACAAAGGGACAAAAACTGTAAGAGACCACTATTATAAAAAGTTAAGAACAGATTTACACACAGAAACATTCTTTGATGGTTACCAGGGGAGGGAGGGACAATCATAAACTAGATAGTAGACATGTGTTAACTCTGGTGAAGGGAAAGGCGATACACAATATGGGGAAAGCTAGCACAATATGACCAAGGCAAAGGAGACACGGAAAGGTATGCAAGAATAATGGAGAACTACAGTAAATACTATAACATATATAGTTATGGATTGAATTGTATCCCCCAAAAATGTGTGTCAACCTGGCTAGGCCATGATTCCCAGTATTGTTTTCCACCATTTTGTATCTGATGTGATTTTCCGATGTGTTAGAAATCCTACCTCTACGATGTTAATGAGGCTGGATTAGAGACAGTTATGTTAATGAGGCAGGACTCAATCTACAAGATTAGGTTGTATCTTGAGTCAATCTCTTTTGAGATATACAAGAGAGAAGCGAGCAGAGAGATAGGGGGACCTCACACCACCAAGAAAGCAGTGCAGGGAGCAGAGCACATCTTTTGGACCTGGGGTCCCTGCGCTGAGATGCTCCTAGACCAGGGGAAAATTGATGACAAAGATATTCCTCCAAAGCCAACAGAGAGAGAAAGCCTTCCTCTGGAGCTGCACCCTGAATTCGGACTTTTAGCCTACTAGACTGTGAGAGAATAAATTTCTGCTTTTTAAAGCCATCCACTTGTTGTATTTCTGTTCTAGCAGAAGTAGATAACTAAGACATATGCAATCCTACAAGAACATTAATAACAAACAACAGTTTGTGAGTGGATACTTAGTCAGATATGTGTGCTAAATAGGTGTAGGAGGTCATACGGGAGCACGCCTGCGTGCATATCCAGGTATAGTTGTGGATATTTGTACATACACATTTATATGTGCTGCAAGGCTGCAAGTATATTCATATATATAATAGTGCACATAGAAGGCACAGTTATGGAAACTTCTTAGACATAGGCAAACATCTTGAAGGGCTGAATTACTGGACTAGAAGGCTAAGGACCATAGTCTCAGGAGTCATCCAGGTTAACTGGCATAACATAGTTCATAAAAATAATGTTCTACATCCTAGTTTGGTGAGTAGCATCTGGGGTCTTAAAGCTTGTGAGCGGCCATCTAAGATAAAACTATTGGTCTCTTCCTGTCTAGAGCAAAGGAGAATGAAGAAAACCAAAGACTCAGGGAAGGAATTAATCTAAAGGACTAATGGCCCACAGGAACTGCGGCCTCTAGTCTGAAACCAGAAGAACTAGATGGTGTCCAGCTACCACTACCAAGTGCTCTGACCAGGAAGACAATAGAAGGTCCCAGTTAGAATGGGAGAAAAATGTGGAACAAAATTCAAATTCATAAAAAAGACCAGACTTACTGGTCTGAGAGAGACTGGAGGAACACCTGAGACTACTGCCCTAAGACACCCTTCTAACTTGGAAGCTCCAGAGAACAATTATCTGTATGAAACCACAAGGGCAACATTTGCCCAAAAGCAAAGATGAAAAGGCAGGGAGGGACAGGGAAACAAGACGAATGGAAACAGGGAACCCAGGTGGAAATGGGGAGAGGGCTGACACATTGTGAGGATTGCAACCAATGTCACAGACCAAATGGTGTATGAATTATTGAATGGGAAACTAGTTTGCTGTGTAAACTTTCACTTAAAGCACATGCGCATGCACGCACGCACACACACGGACACACACACACAAAACCTATGCTTTTCTACATTGTTTTAATACCACGTCACAAACTACCTCAATGAAAATGCATTTATATTGGGCAAGGTAAAAAAATTCACAATACGCTCAATGAGGCAAACTCTTAGAATGATAATTAATACTAGTATGTTTTCAAACTAAAAAGTGTCAGCATTGTACAGAGTACAATCCAGCTATCTTTGTGAGTATAAGATGATTTTTCAGACTTCTAATGTCACAGTCCTTCCCCTACTGTTCAAGAAAGAGCATAATTCTTACAACTTTGGTTCATAAGATATTCAAACACATAAAAATAAAAAGCATAGCAATCAGTAGCTCTCAACATAGTTTGTGTACACACACTATGGGAAGACATAGGGATAATACAAGCACATGCATAGGGAATCATCTGGGAATATTTTTCAAAATCTTCTGCCAGGGTACTTTCCCACCCAGATTCTGGTATGTCCCTTTCTCTATACTGAGACTCATTATTCTAAATAAATGTAAATACACACACACACACAAACATCTGACTTCTAAAAGAAAATGAATTTATTAGTTAGACTACAAATTAAATACCTAAAAAATTATCTAAACCAACTTACTCATAAAACTAAAATCTCGTTCCACTGGAAAACAGAACTATACAACTATATTTTGTTGGATATTTATTTACAGTTGGAAAACTCTGCTTACAATCTTTTCCAAGCAAATGTTCTAGTATAGAGTTTGGCTTCTGTATTATAGTTTTGGGAATATATTGCAGGGTACACGCTTTAGAGTTGGAAAAATCTTATCAATGAAGCTTGCTGGAAGAATACATAGCAAGTCCATGTGCCACCAGTATGTACATAACAAGACTTACATATGTGATTATAAGGCAAATTCCTACACAAGAAAATGTATTAATATCAAAGAGATTACTCTTATTTTATCAAGATCAATTAATATATCACAGTGTGCTAATTAATTACATGGACTAAAGATTTTAGTCCATCAGTCTGTGAGAGGGAATAAATAAAAAGATGTATCATTTTTCTATCTTGACTACTATCCTAAATAGTTATCCTTTTGGATATTACCTTGGAACAATTAAGGCTTTCTTTAAAGTTTGACTAAATCTGCTTTTAAAAGTTCACTAAAGTGGCACATAAAGGGCAAATAAACATGAAACCATGCAGCCATAAAGAAATAATCAGCATGTTCTCCTGTGAAAGAAAATGTGCTAAGTAAATATATCTTTTATCCTTACTCTATGCTAAAAAATCAGAATAAGAACAAATGATTATAATCTTCTGGGCCAAAGTAAGAAGGTAAGGTTTACTGTAAAAGTAAGCAATATGGGGCTTTTTTCACAGCTCATATATTTTTGTTTCCATTTTCAATGAGTCAACTACTTAAGTAAAGAGTAGAGGAAAGCTATTATACATAAAAATAATTTATATTTTCAGGACATGATTCTTTTTAGCTCCTACTCAACTGGAGAACTTAGTCAGTTGAAGGGTAATTGTTACAACCAATGTCTTCACTTAAATTGATAAACATTTAGTGGCTACAAACAACAAAGGTAAATTTTATCCTAATGGTTCTATGAGTTGATCATTATTAGATATAATCAACAAACAGGTAACTCGATAATTTTTATAAATTAAGTACCTCCTTAAGCTGTTCCTTTCGAAGTTTATATTCTCTTTTCTGGGACTCCAAAAAGCTGTTTAGTTCTTTCTTCTGCTGGGCCTGAATATGTTGCTGAAATTTTTTCTCCTCATTCGCCATCACTTTAGCCTATATGAAATTAAAAAAAAAATGATACCAAGTTAGCTAAGTAGACAGATTCAAAGCAGCAGTTTAATATACATCATTTAATACACATTACTATGGGTATCTTTTTTTTTGCAAGAAACAAAGCATTACCAAAATAAGAATACCTAACCAAATTATTAATAAACATTACTCGGCATCTTTATCATTTGAATTCCATAGAATTAGTAAATGAACTCATCGTTAAAATATTGATCTTTCACAAGATCAAAATACCTTCATCTGTTTTTCATTTAACAGGAGTATAGTTCCCCTTGATAAAACAAATACATGATATGCTTGTCTTCAAATAAAATTATGATTTTTAATTTATATATAAAATAATGTAACACATTTATGATCAAATTAAACCCTTATCTTTAATTTATATATTAATATCAAAATGTTAAATATTAGACATACATTAGATAATATTTTATTTCTGATTATGTATGCAGTATACATTCATTGTAGAGCTTTTAAGAAATACAGAAAAACACAAAGAAAAATTCTAAGTGATTTTAGCACCCAGAGATAACCAATGTAAACATTTTGGTGCCTACCCATCCTAATTTTTCCATGCACATATATATGTTTAAAAAATGTGTAATCATATTGCATATCCTGATTCATAAACTGTTTTACTAAATATGTATCTACCTCTTATCAAATTATTAAAAATACTGCCCAATGCTCAATAGTATTAATATCTGTACATTCTTTCATCAAATGATTTTAAAATCAAATATTTATTTATACCATAAATTATTCTGCTAAATTCTCTACTACTGAGGGAGAGTGGTTCTTCTTTTTTGGGAAGGAGAGTAAGCATGGTAACTATGATAAAAATGCTTCAATGAGGACTAGCCAGATATAATTTGATAAAATTCATGAATTTATTGAACAGCTTACATTTTACTTGACAAATATGACTATTAAAATGAAACTATAAAAATAATAAATAAAATGAAACTGATGGGACACCAAAAATATTAGAAGAAAAGGTTTCACATAACAAGAATCCTAAAAAAACACATCTTCGTCATATAGCAGAATAACGACACTTATTGGAAATAATAAAATGGGCTAAATCTTAATATGAATCTCTCTTAATTTGCAGTCTCTAACGTTCTCTGCGTACATTATAATAATGTTCAGTTATTCTCTCGTATAAAAATGCTGCTACAAATTTAAGGAACGTTTCCAAAAAATACAAAAAAGAAGAAAATTATGAATGAGTTTTTGAGACAGGAGTTAGCTCATAATCACCTGTCCATGGTAAACGATTTATGCAAGTCCTCAAATAACCAGAATACTCAAGGCCTAGAATAGTTGAATTACTTACCTACTGGGATGCTATAAAACTATCAGGTGACAGGAAATGATTCATATTAAAACACATTAGTTTTCTATAATCAAATTTTTTGTTGGTTATTGGAAAAACTGTAAGATAGACTACTGCAATTGATAATTACTTTTAAGATTTGTTTTACACACACATACAATTAGTGAGAAGAAAACACAGAAGCCAGATTTTTTGTGACTGTTCTGTCACCAATTAATAGAAAGCCGCACACAAATTATATAAATGCTTCTCCCTTTCTCCAATCAATTTGCTTGGCTCCTGGGAACAGATACTATAAAATCAAAATGCCATCTTGGTTAACTCTGAGATGATCGCAAGCTAACATATACAAATTAATAATACTAATTCAGCCACCTCTTTTTCCATAGAAGCTTGATGTTTCTTGATAAGTTTTTCCATTTCTGCCGCAAAATTGTTACGCTGAGTTTCAAGATCTTTGTCTAATCTGAGGCGGTGTTCATCCATCTCAGCCTTTAGCTTATTTTCCAGAGTCATCAGCTGCTTTTGATGTTGCCGCCTCATACGCTTATAGCCAGACATCTGTTCTCTAAGCTCAGAGTCCTGCTCATGTTCTTGCATTTGCCTTGTAACCTAGACATATAAACAATGGAGAAAAAATAAAATAAAGCAAAACAGTTTCCTTTTAAAAACATTTTAGATCATTCTACTATTAACTAAGTAGGCAATTAATTTAAGAGATATCAATGTTAGCAGATCCCAATTAAAATTCCAGTACATTTTTTTAAGAAATAGATAAATTAGTTCCAAAATTTATAAGGGAATGTAAAGGATCTAAAGTAGTCAACACAATCTTAAGAAGAATAAAGGTGGAAGACTTGCACTACAGTAATCAAGACAGTATGATACTGGTGCAAGGAAAAGATAAATAGACCAATGGAACAGAATAGAATCTAAAATCAGACCCACACATATTCAGTTAATTGATTTTCTATCAAAAAGTCAAGTGGTGAAAGGAAAGTCTTTTTAACAAATCCTGCTGAAACAACTGATTCTCGGTATAGAAAAAAATAAACCCTGACCAATGTATCACTCCAAGCACAAAAATTAATTTGAAAAGTATCAACTGACCTAAACATAAAACGCAGAATCATAAAGCAGAAGAAAACATAGAATATCTTCATGACCCTTAGGTAGTCATATATTTCTTGGGCAGGACACGAAAAGCACTACCCATAAAGAAAGAATGTATAAATTCAATTTTAAAATTAAAAAATTTCATCTGTCCTTATCAATTCACTCTTAAGAAAAGGAATAGGCAAAACACACGCTAAGAAAAAAATATTCACTAGCTATAAATGAGATATAGGACTTGTATCCAGACTATATAGAGAGCTCCTACAAATTAATATTAAAAAGACAGACTCAATAAAAAATATATATATGAATAGAGAATAAGCATATGAAAAAGTGTTCAATGTATCTAGTTACAAGGAAATGTCATTTAAAAAAATTTTTTTTATTATTATTGTACTTTAGATGAAGGTTTAAAGAACAAACTAGCTTCTCATTAAAGTTAGTACATATATTGTTTTTTTGACATTAGTTACCAACCCCATGACGTGTCAACACTCTCCCTTCTCGACCTTGGGCTCCCTATTACCAGCTTTCTGTCCCCTCCTGCCATCTAGTGCTTGCTCCTGGGCTGTTGTGCCCCTTTAGTCTCATTTTGTTTTATGGGCATGTCTAATCTTTGGCTGAAGGGTGAACCTCAGGAGTGACTTCATTACTGAGCTAAAAGGATGACTGGGGGCCACAGTCTCGGGCTTTCTCCAGTCTCTGTCAGGCCAGTGAGTCTGGTCTTTTTTTGTGAGTTACAATTTTGTTCTACATTTTTCTCCAGCTCTGTCCAGGACCCTCTATTGTGATCTCTGTTAGAGCAGTTGGTGGTGGTAGCTGGATATCATCTTGTTGTATGGGAAATGTCATATATTTTATAATAGCCTACTTTTCCTACGACATCTTAATGTAATTTTTCTATCCCTAATAATGTTTATCACATTTTAGTCCTATTCATCTGATTGATCAGGGTTTTAACTACTCCATTATAACCACACCCTTGTATGGACAAATAATCCATTATTATTATTATGCAGGAAATCAGAAGAACTACTTTTAGAGTATAACTCTGTTGAGCCTCTCACAGTGTAATTCTTCACTCCCCCCCTTTTTTTTTTTTTTTTGTGGAAGTCCCATTTCTCCTCTCTCTTTGTGCTAAAACCTACTAATCATTAAAGGCTCAAACTATCTTGTTTCATAACTGCTTCCTCTATGCCCCTAATCAAAAGCTATCTGAATTGCTATTAAGTACTTTGTAGCGCTCTGAAGCATTTAATATATTCTAACATATTCATTATGTACCTGTCTGGAAGACATTATTAGTTTAACTTTCTTTCAAGAGTGACTTGCCCAATATCTTTCTCATAATAGGCATCTAAATGTTTGATGAATGTTTTACAAAATAAACCATGCAAAAAATAAGATAACAGTTATACTTGAGTATATATGCCAATGTCCAAAAGGAAAAACCGATTTCTCTCTAACTCAGAAGTACATACCAGAGATGCCGTCCGTATAGTAGCAAAGTGTTCTCGATTACGATAGTGCGATTTGTGACGGGATACTTGCGGTGGAGACTGTGGATCAGTTGCTCTTGTTCTAGAATCTCCCTCTTCTCTGTAATTTTCTTCCTCCTAGGCAAAGAAAAAGACAATACCATGTAAGGTGAAGAAACGGTTCATCTGAACCTTCAAGAAAGTTAACGATTAAAGACAACTTGATATATAAATCTTAAAGGTGCTTAATTTTAAAAAGCTAAAACAAACAAAAAAATTGGAAATGCTGATGTTTTATTTTTAATAAAATTAGAATCAAGAGAAATTATTTCCTCAGTGTATACAATAATACACAGATTCGGGATAAGGAAAGACAGGCCTAGATTTGTATCCTACCCATGATATGCAAAACCAAAAAGCTTTAATGTAATTTAAAAACAAAGATGATGAAATATGAAACATGTAGCCAGTATTTATCTATTTGTTTTTAATTGTGCTTTAGATGAAGGTTTACAGAGCAAATTACTTTCCTGTTAAACAATTAACACACATATTGTTTTGTGACACTGGCTGCCAACACCATGACACGTCAATACCCTCCCCTTCTTGACCTTAGGTTCCCTGTTACCGCTTTCCTATGCCCTCTGGTCTTCTCGTCCTTGCTCCTGGGCTGGTGTGCCCATTTAGTCTCATTTTGTTTTATGGGCCTATCTAATCTTTGGGTGAAGGGTGAACCTCAGGAGTGACTTCAGTACTGAGTTAAAAGGGTGCCTGGGGGTCATACTCTCGGGGTTTCTCTAGTCTCTGTCAGACCAGTAAGTCTGATCTTTTTTTGTGAGTCAGAATTTTGTTCTACATTTTTCTCCAGCTCTGTGTAGTCAGTACTTTAAATAGCAGTAATAAAATTAATTATTCTAAGGTTCTTGGGTTTTAGAAGCAACATAATTTAAACACATCTTTATAATACTTCTGTCATCTGTCCAAGATAAGTAAAAAAAAAGTTGTAAAAAATTTAAGAATTGATGTCTTTCCTTATATACCTCAGTTCATCAACTAAAGAGGAAGTCAGTTAAGTAACAACCAACTAACTGTGCCAATAATCTTTTATGACTGATTCCATTGCCTAAGAATATAAAAATTAAACATGTTTTTGCCCCCAATAACACTACTACTTAATCATTCCTAATAACATTTTAAGTAATACTAGAAGCTGTGAAGTTAAAAACAGAGCATTCCTATTAATTGCTAAAAGGAGTACCTATCAAACATTTGAGAAAATTTAAAATTCTGTACTCAAAAGTACAAAGAATAATATAGCAAACATCTATACTTCCTAAATTCAGAATTTATAACTGTAATTTTCCATAATTTATACTCAGTTTTACTTTAAAGATATAAATATTATAGCTAATGCAAGTCACTTTTGATCATCACTCATCCCAACTCCTTCTCCCACTCCCCAAAAGGCAACCATTATCATGAATTTTGTGTGTAGTCTTCCTATTTTTTAATATTTTATTTTCCATATAACTTCAAATAATACATTATATAGTACTTCAGTTTTTTTCTTCTATGATTTTAAAATAGTTCCACATTCTTTATGAATTCTCAAAACATTTGTTTTCCAAATGCAGACATTAGATTGGAAGTTAACAAGCCTATTGTCATTTTAAAATTAGTTACCTAAAAATGTCCTGTACTACTGAAACATTAAAGAAAACCACCTTCTCTGAAACTAATCAGATGAAAAAAATTAACTAAACTAAATTAATTACACTAAAGTTGAAATTTTTTTCACTGAAATCCAAATACTCACAGGCTTTAAATGGATGACAGAACTATTAGACATCACTGTGTGGTCCCCTTCCATCATGTCTAGTTCACTCTTGTCATCTGAGGCATCTGGAAGACTATTAACACTACTGCTTTGGCTACTGGCACTGATGGACATACTGGGAATAGACTGATTACTTCCAACACTATTCACTGTTCCTGTCCGACCAACACCATGATCTTGTTCCTAAGGGAAAAGAGCATTAGGTTCAAATATCTATATCTTTTCTGGATTATTGATTGTAAGCACATAGCACACTGTTTGGCACACTATCTTAGAAAGTTAGAGGTCTCATAAGAAATTCCCTATATTTGCCAACACCAGGAAGTTTTCCAAATGTTAGTTTACAGAAAAACAAACAAAAATAACCAACAAAAACCCAACCAAATGTGTAAATAAGTCAGTTGATCAGTTTTGGGTTATTTCCCAAGTGTAGTATTTTCTCTAAATTGTTTGACATATTTTGAAAACCATTTCTATCACACATCTCACATATATAGAGATCCTGTTAATTTCTCAATTATTCTCACGGTTAGTACAGGACCCTACCTTTTTTGTTTTAACGTATAAATACCCCTTTTAATTGTTATTCTGTACTGAAGCCTTAACTAGATTCTTTCTTCCTCAAAATAGTCTCTAGACTATGTTTTCTACCACCAAATAATTTAATATTCCTAACTTTCGCATATATAGATTCAATCACATGAACGTTTTCCTGAAGTGACTAGGCAGCCACAGTATCTGGGCACCAACACTATAATAGTTATACCATACCAGAATTCTATAAGGTATGTAAAACTTAATAAATACAGACAGAGTATATGTATATAGGGGCTTTTCTTATATCTTTACTCTTACAGGGATGCTGTTAAGACATTTAACTACATTAGAATTTTATTGATTTTACAACTTTATTATAATACTTCAAATATCTAATATAGTCCAAAACATTTCTAATGACTATTATAAGAATTAAAAAAACAAAAACCCAAAACTGTAAGTTATGAAAGTTTTGTATTTGATAGTTCATCAATTATGCAGTCCTATTAAAAAGAAAAGTAACTAACTACTGCTCCTGGTTTCAGAATTCAAAGTGATCTCTCTCACTGGAGAGCAACAGAAAAAAATCAAAGCTTTGGGATTCTGACAGGGGCAAAGCAAAAAACTTTTAATAGAGGAAAAACGATAGCTCCACATATAATAAACTTTATATATATTTTCTTTGCAAGGATGTTCTGTAACATTTCTATTGCAAATTTGTATTTCTACCTTCCTAAAGGGCAACATAGAAAGAACTTGGCTTTCTGAGTGAAATAGACATAGATTTGAACTCATACACCTGTACCACTCTGAGCCTTGGTTTCCTCATCTGTAAAATGAGTACTTTAGAACTGAGTAGATGGAATGAAAGTATGCAAAGTTTCTAGCTAGTTTCTTTCCTTTATATATTAACTGAAAGGAATCAAGTTTCCCTGGTGACTTATAATGCCTGGTTACACTCATCTTCTAAATCTGTAAATTCAAGTATTTCGCAAAGTGTGACCCATGGAAGCAACTTCTATTGCTAACATTTAATAAAGCTTAACCATAACAAATAAAGAAACGTAGAAAAAAACAAAAGCCAAAAAGGGCCAAGAAATCTGCAAAGAGCCAGATTAAATAAAGTGAACAGGTTTCTTTAACAAGACTTCTCACAGCCTTTACTAGGCCAACGTGCGTTACATGAAGGAGTTGGATTTAAAGAATGCAATCTAACATGATCAAGACTTTTTTGCCCACGTGGGATCTTATAAGACCACTGTTAAGAAAACATAATCCGGGAGTCACTGATATAAAAAGTAGATTCTTGGCAGGACAAGTTGCGTAAGGAAAGAAACCAATTAAGATAGCTCAATATTTGAGTCATTTCCAAGTCATTACCTCTTCTTCTTCCTGTGCTTCTACAGCTGGTCCATTATGTGCCTCCTGGAAAAGGAGTTTCTTCATCTTTCGATACTGCAGATTGTCCAACTCTCTTACTGCATCCTTTGTCCTCTGAATGAGATCTATTAACACTGTTTCGGGGCGCTCCCGAAGAACAAACATGTGCTGGATTAAGGGTAGAAGGTAAAAGTCAGGTTGAAGCCTATGTTTTTAGAATTAGTATAACTGTATCCTTTAACTCAACAGCAGTTAGTTGTAACTATCCATACAATATTTTATTCTATTTTCACTGTCATAATTATTATTCATGTTATTTAAACTCATAAGCACAGTTTAATAACCACAGAATATTTCATCAAATGTTTGTACCAAAATCATTTAACCATTACCCTAATTCTGGGCAATAATTTCAAATTTTAAATTCTGAGATAAATATCTTCACACGTAAAAAAACTTTTGCCATTAATTTTTTTTTATGATGAACTGTAACAGAAATGTAATTAATTAGGTCAAAGAATATGAAGTTCTTTTTTTTTTGCCATTTTTTTAAATTTTATTTTTATTTAGATGAAGGTTTACAGAGCAAATTAGCTTCTCTTTAAACAATTAATACACATATTGTTTTGTGACACTGGTTTTCAACCCCAAGACATGTCAACACTCTCCCCTTCTTCACCCTGGATTCCCTATAACCAGCTTTCCTGTCCCCTCCTGCCTTCTCGTCCTTGCCCCTGGGCTGGTATGCCCATTTAGTCTTTTTTTTCAGCATATTCTTTTCTGTTTGTTTGTTTATTGTTGTAGTTTAAGTGAAAGTTTACATTTCAAGTCTCTTATACAAAAACTTATACATACATTGTTATGTGACTCTAACTGCTCTCCCTATACTGTGACAGCACACTCCTCCTTTCCACCCCTGATTTCCCATGTTCATTCAACCAGCTCCTAACCCTCTCTGCCTTCTCATCTCACCTCCGGACAGAAGCTGCCCGTTTAGTCTCATGTATCTACTTGAGCTAAGAAGCACACTCTTCACGAGTAGGTATGAAGTTCTTGATAGATATTTTCTATCATTTCAAATAGGGCTATGCCAATACACACTATGGACCAGGTAAATGAATACTATATGCAAGCTTTGGATCTAATCACCAAATATCTGGCCCTGGTGAGTTGGGTTATTACATATATGAGCTAGAAGGGTTTCTTTTGCCTACATTAGGTGAGTATAAGAAGCCAGTCAAATTCTTCCTTTTTCCTGGGCCTTACCTTGGTGTGTATAATACTTTCTAATATACTGTATTATAATATCCAGTCTTCTTATCCAAAAATATTATCTTTTATTGCTAAGCTTGACAGTTTTCTCTATATAACCAAAATCAAACCCATTGCCTTCAAGTTGATTCTGACTAATAGTGACCCTATAGGACAGAGCAGAACTGCCCCATAGGGTTTCCAAGGAGCAGCTGGTGAATCTGAACTGCCGACCTTTGGTTAGTAGCTGTAGTTCTTAACCACTGTGCCACCAGGGCTCCTTTCTATATATAGCTCTTGCTTATTTCTTACTAACATAATTCCTTGCTATATTAAAGCTTTTAAAAGGTACAGTGAGTGCTTATTTATTCAGGCTTTCATTTCTGAGACTATAAGTGAGCTTACTGCCTTGAATTCCCCAAGCATTATGCTAACTCTATATAGATCTTCTATGTACTGTAGCTGCAAATAATACTAATTGAATATATGTGATTATCTACTGTTTCTTTGTAGCTTTAATTTAACTGATTTGTGTCAGTGAAAACGAAATGAACTTCTTTGAAATTCTAAAACATTAGTGTAAAAATAATCTACTTAAATCTTGTAGTGAGAAGCCAGTAAGATCCCTCAAGGGTCACAAAGACACAGAATCAAATTCTACTTAGCAATGCCTTATCTAGATTTTTTAAGAGCCATATTAAATTATATTGAATTTAAGAATACTATTATTGCTAAGGAAACCCTGGTGATGTAGTGGTTAAGAGGTACGGCTGCAAACCAAAAGGTCAGCAGTTCAAATCCACTAGGTGCTCCTTGGAAACCACATGGGGCAGTTCAACTCTGTCCTATAGGGTTGCTATGAGTTGCAATCAACTCGATGGCAATGGGTTGGTTTTGATATTATTGCTAAATAATAAATGAGACAATAAATAAATTTTTGAAAACAGAAAGTGTATACCAATCATGTATTTAAATTAGCAACTAAGCCCAGAAGAACTAGATGGTGCTCAGCTACCACTACCAACTGTTCTAATCAGGGCCACAATAGATGGACCCCGAAAGAATGGGAGAAAAATGTGGAACAGAACCTCAAATTCTTAAAAAAAAACAAAAATCAGACCTACTGGACTGGTTGAGGCTAGAGGACTCTCTAAGACTATTGCCTTGAGATACTCTTCAAACCTTGAACCAAAACTAACCCAAAGTCACCTTGTAGCTAAATAACAAATTGGCTCAAAAATAATGAATATCATCTGAAAGTACTGTGCTCCTTTAAAAAATCATCTATATGAGACAAACAGTCAATAATTACTTTAAAACAAAGATGAGAATATAATGGGACAGGGAAATGGAGCAACCAGAACTGAAATAATGAGAATGTTCATGCATTGTGAAGAATATAACCAATGTTACTGAACAACTTGTGTAGAAATTACTGAATGGGTACCTACACTGCCGTGTAAACCTTCACTAAAACCACAATATTACTTAAAAAAAAAAAAAAAAGCAACAAAGCTAACTGGAAATTAAACTTACATGATTTTTTAAAATATTTTTTTTTTTTTAATATTTTATTGTACTTCAGGTGAAGGCTTACAGAACAGATAGTTTCTCATGTAACAGTAACACACATGCTGTTTTATGACATTGGTTAACAACCCCA